ACTCTTGCCTTTATTTTTTTTTTTTTTGGCTGTGGCTGGGTTTGAACCTACAACCTCTGGCATATGGGACCAGTGCCCTACCCTTTTGAACCACAGGCACTGCCAGAAATTTTTTTTCAAAAATTGGTAACTATATGAGATGATGGATATGTTAATTTGCTTTACCCTAGTAACATTTTATTATTTACCTATCTATCGGTATCTATACTTTATCTCTATCTCTCTCTATAGATGTCCTATAACTTCATGTTGTATCCCTTATATATACATAACAAAATTTATTTTAAAAATACCTTGTTAGGAAAATATGTGAGCATTGACAAGAGAAATAACTTATCTAAGATATCAGTAAACCATTCTACACTGAACAAATTTCTCCAAAGATTTACAAGGGAAAATGCCCAGCAAAAGAGTCATACAATTAGTTTTAAAAATATGACCATATATACCAGGTTCAAGGTAACTGAGACTATAAAATACACAGTTTGGTTGAAATTTGGTATGTTACACTAATAAGAATGATGCTTATTGGAGATCTTCTCAGGGTTTGGGTGTGTAAAAAATATGTAGGCTTTTCACACTCCTAGTTTTCCCCACTGCCTTGACAGATAATTTTGTGCTCTCATACAACTTCCATAAGAATAAGAGTAATCTTTCCTTTGGATTTCCAAATGGAAAAAAATGTTTAGAAAGTCTTGAAAATATTGTAAACCACAGGGCACTTTCTTCCTTCAAAATATAATGTAATACATATTTTGAAGTCATCATTGTAGCACAACAATGTGCTTGAGTCAAGAAAGAACCATAAGCTACAGTAGCATTGATATTTCTTTTACCTCACAAACACCCAATGGATAACTAACACCTGGAAAACACAGTAGTAGGTACTAGGCATACAAAGAGAGACCTGTTATGAACTCTGTCTCAATAAGCTCAGCATCCTATCCACATTGAAGAAGCAGAAAAGAGCATAGGTAAGGACATCATAATGGGTGATAGATGTCACAGTGGGGAAGCACAGGCTGTATAGAAACAAAGTGAAGAACATCTCAGTGAAAGAGATGTGTGTCTCTAGAGACAGGAAGAAAACAATAAAGAAACAGGAAAGTCTCTTATTTGAAAGAGATGCATTCTAGAGATACTTTTCCCTGGCAATTGATCCTCTGATCTTATTATCTGGCCCCTTTTGTCCTTCATAAAACTGACATGGAAGTGCCACTTGGGGAAGGCATTTACTTTG